GTGTGGCTGCCCACCTACCCAGGGGCCTGTCCCGAGGGCGCGTGGGCCGGGCACCCCGCCTGGCCGCACCGACAGCACGCCTGCCTCTACGCCCATGCCCGCCTGCCGCTCTGCTGGGGGGCTGTGTGCCCCCACCTGCCCCCCTGTGCCAGCCATGGCCCCTGGCTGGCTGGGGCCTGGGAGCCTCCAGGGCGCAGGGGCAGGACCCTGGGGCTGAGCACAGGCTACAGGGACAGCGGGGGGCCGGGGGCCGGCAGGGCGGCCTGTGGGGCGCAGGGCTTCCTGGGACCCTGCGCCTGGAGGCGGATAGACAGCTTGGAGTCAGAAGTGTGAGGTGTGGGCTGCTCTGCTTCCTGGGCAGCTGGACCCCCCACCTGGCACTGCCAGGGTTAGGGGCAGGCAGGCTCCGGCTTTTCGGACTTTTGCGGTGAAATCCTGGCTGTGGAGCCCCAGCGACAATGTCCTCCACCGTCAGTTCAGTGACCTCAGCGGCCTCGGGTCCTGGCCCGGGCTTGGTTCCTGCTGTCCTCCCATCATGTCAAAACCTTCCCCCAGGACCTGGGGTCACAGGGAGCAGTGGGGTCTCCCCGCCCCGCCCTGCCCTTAGCCAGTGCCGGGTCATGGCTGCTGGGGGCCTGGCGTGGGAGCAGGGAGGCTGGAGCCCGGGGCTGGGGCAGGGCTGTTCCACCCCTCTGCTCCGCTGGCTGGAGTTTCTTCTCAGAGCGTTGGGACATTAAACACAACTTTTACAACCCACTGGTCCTGGCTTCCTCATTCTGCCTCCTTTGGACAATAGGAGCACCCCGGGAGTATCCCAGGCCGGGTGCCTGCCTAGAGCAGGCTGGCAGCTCCCTTTGGGCGAGTACCTGGGAGGTGAGACCCAGAGAGGGCGCCAGGGGCAGAAGCCGCTTGGTATTCAGAGCCAGCACCCGCCCACCCTGGTGCCAGATGTGGCAAATGTGCTCAGCACGGGGGCTCTGGTGGTGATGGATGGAGTTTATCCTTCAGTCTCCTTTAAAAGAGAGGCTGGCACCAGGGGCTGTGGGTGTCCTTTCTTGCCAGGGGCCCGCCTGGGAGCCGGACAATGTCATGGTAGAAACGGTAGAGGGAGGTCTATTGTGGGGAGTCTGCTGGACTCTCCTTGGCCCTGGCAGGCCGTATCCTTTCCATGATGGCTGTGCAGGGCTCCGGACTACCTGCTGGTTCTGGAAGCCTGGCACAGGTGGCTTCCCAGGTTGGGGACAGCTCAGCCTCACTGGGGCTGGGACTCCCCTGGAAGGAGGTCAGAGAATCAGCCCACAGTCTCAGGCCTGCCCCCTCCGTCGGGGCTCCCAGCCCTACCTCCTTTCTCTGTTGCATGTCATCAGCCCTGGGCCTGATGGCTCTTGCTTACAATTCCCAATGTTTCCACATCTGTGATTCCATTTACCTCCCACAATGACTCTGAAGCAAGCAAGCAGCACTCACTCGGCCATTCATTCCACAAACACACACCATGAGCGTGATTGTGGCCATCGGGCCCTTTCTTAACTGCAGAGCATGTGAAGCCCGAGGCCTTGCTGTCCTCGACAAGTTCAAGTGCAGTGAGGCAGGGCAGAAATCAGCTCCCTGTAATAGGGAGGACGCTGGGGAGGGCAGCTGGATGCCAACTCTGTGCAGCCCCTGCCCAGGGCCCTCCCCTACACAGCTCCTCACTGGTCCCCTCTTCAGGCTCCGGAGGCTCGACTGCTGGGACTGGGCCATGAAAACTGGACGTCTTTAGTTGGGTCTTCAGAGCTGAAGGGGTACAGTGTGGGATGTTGCTAATGCCCTCCCATTCTTGGCTAGAGAGCCTGATATGCCCAGAATGGGTGGCCTGGGCCGTTACTGTCCATTTCATCTTCTCTGCCCGATTTCGTGTTTCATGGACCCAGGGCCAGGACTGGGGGCTCTGCCTCGGGCGGCGCGGTGAGTGCTGGCTAGACCCGGGAAGGGAGCTTGAGGTTGGTCGCAGCCACGGGTGGTGAGAGGGTCCTCCCCGGGTCCGAGTGCAGCTCTGGGTGGAAGGCTGCCGCAGGTGGGGTTGGGAGGAGTCACGAGGTCCAGGCAGCTCTCTGCTGTGCCCAAGATCATTAATAACCAAGAACTGGAAAGATAATTAAAAGCCAAATGTGGAACTGAGCCTGCTGTTGGCTGGCTCCTAGGAGGTGCCAATCCTGCTCCCGAGGCCAGGCTCTTGGCTGCCTTGTTCCTTCTCTAGGAATGAATTCTGGGGACAAGTGAGCCTTATAGAAAGTAGGGACAGGAAGGACATTCCCTGCAGGTTCAGAGCTGGCTTGGCCTGGCTCCCCAGCCTCCTGCCCCTCCGAGGGGGGACTGAGGGGAAGGGATGGTGAAGCCTCGCAGAAGAGGGGGGAGCTGACAGAGGCCGTAGATGTTCAATTATCATAAACAAGGGCCTGTGTAGCAACGAGCAAGCAGAGTCCGCCCAGACAGACTCCCCAGTGCTAGCCTGTTCTGGTGGGACACAGGGAGAGGCCCTTGGTCACTTGTCTCAGGAATAGGACATCTTTCCTATCTCGCCCTGTTTCTTCCTCCCGCTGCTGTTGCTGTTTCCTTGCCTGTCTTTTCTGAGCAGCTCACCTCCACACCACCTTTCTCCTGGGAGCCAGGTGTGTGTGGGGAGGGGGCATCGAGCTTAGGAAAGAACGGGCACGATGTCCTTGTCAGGAGACCTGACTTCAGCCTGGCTCTTTGAAAGGGGACGGCTGTCCTTCAGTTTCCTGGGGGGGTTGGGGAACCAGAGACCACTCTCCCAAAGCCCTCTGGATCCTGAGAATTCATTTCCCATTTCCGAATTGTAGCGGGCAGCTGCTACCAGGAGGCACTTGACTAATTAGGTGGCTAAGAAACCAATTAGGTGCCTGGGGACGCAAACTGGGGGTCCTCAGTGAGTGCTGTGGCCACCACGGCAGTTATGGCTGGTACGTGACAAGGGAGGGGCATTCGACACAGAAAAGCTTTATTGAGTTGTGCTGGGCACTAAGCTCGGTCCTTTAGTTCCCAAAACCCACCAGCGGTACAGGTACTATTATCTGTTCCACACGACAGGCGGGCACGGAGGCTCACAGCCTGCGAGGTGCACACTCTCGGTCCCTAAGCGATGCCGCCAAGGTCCACTGGGAAAGTTCCCAGCACTGTGCCTGGCGCAAAGCAGGCACTCAGATGTTACTTCTCCCTCCCTCCAGTCCACAGCATGAGCCCCAGCCCCCCAGAAGGGATGGCAAAGCTCCCTCCTGCAGCCCTGGATCTTGATCTTGGAGGAGTTGGCTTTTCAGTGGCCATTAGCACAGGTGGGCCAGATATCAGTCCTGCTCAGGAATCCGGCCCCCGGACAGGCATGGTGCCAGCCTTTCGCTTGCCCATGGTCTCCCGGCCCTGGAGCCTGGCACTGCCTGGCTCTTGGGCTGGATTCCTCTGAGGCGGGGGCAGCCTGTCCTCCTCCTCTATGACTTTAGCCCCAGCCTGTTGCTGAGGCTGCTCCCAGCCCCTATGTGGCAAGAACAACTGTGTGGCCAAGGGCCTGGCAAGGTGCCCGCTGCCCGCCTTCCACGACTCAGCAGTGCCTCCCAGCCTGTCGCCTGCCATCTGCCCCATCCATAAGCCCAAAGCCGCCTCTCTGGCCTCAGGTGAGGGACAGGCAGCGGCTGCTGGCACGAGGCTCCAGGCTTCAGCAGGGGCCAAGGCAGAGCGCGGGCGCCACCTCGGCCTGGCCTGCCCGCGGGGCTGGGCCGGGCAGTCACGCTGGGGGAAGGCGGCCGAGTCTTCATTCTCCACGGCAAAGCCTGTGCCCACGCCAGGCCGGGCTGGCAACCTCTCTGCCTGCCCCCCGCCACCCTATAGAATGGAAACCAGGACCCAAGCGCCCCCTCGCCAAGCTGATCAAAAACAGACCAACGTGCTCAATGCACATGGTGGGACCCGTCCTCTCACCCTGGCCCCGAGCCCTGCGGCTCCCCGCAGCAGGGAGGGAGGTGACCCCATCCGGCCTCCAGCGGACAGACAGCAGGGGAATGTGGAGGACAGGAACCCAGGCTGTGGTGATGGTCAGCGCCTGCCTGCCCTCAGTGACATGGTCGCCTTGGGCCAATCCCCTCCAGGAACCAGGCTGCCCGGCTCGGAGGGGAACTTAGCCACCAGACTCCACCGCTGTGGCTCCAGATTGTCACATAAATCAACCTGGGCTTTATGACGCTAATAAATTCACATTCAAAATTTGGTGTGGAGCTTGGGGAAGCAGGATGATTTAATTTGCTTTGTCCTTAAGCAAAAGGAAACATAATTGGAGAAGGGTAAGTACAGATGTTTTAATTGAGTTTTCAGCGAACAGTGGGGCAGCTCTAGGGAGGGCCTGAGCCACTGGGGGCTGGTCCACCTTAGGGCCCTCCCTGCTCAGGGTAGGGACTCCTGGAAAGAAGCCACCACAGCAGGTGCAGAAGGCGAATGGAAAATGACGACACACGGGGCCAAGACGAGACTGAAGATGTGTGACCACATGTGAGAGAGCAGATCACGGGGTTCTCACAGGCTAGGGCTGCTGGGGCCAAAGGTGGGGGGTAGTGCTGCCCGCGGACGCCCCACGTTCCTGCTAGTCCCGCATGTCCTTCTGCCCTCCTGACACCACCACAGCCCCAGGACACCCAGTGTCGCCACTCTGTCCAAGGTATGAAGCCGGTGCAATGCAGGGGGAGGCAGCAAGGTTCCCTAGTGAGGGCTGAGCAAGGCACTGAAATCGAGAGAAAGGGGCAGGGGCCTGAGAGCCCAGCGAGAGGCAGCTCCTGGCCCAGCAGCTCTGGGCTCCAGGACCGGTGGGTGCAGGCCTGGGGCTGGGGCAGCCGGGGAGGGTCAGAAAGGAACCCTGGGCCCTGCAGCAGAAGGCACATTGAAAACGCGGAGTTCATCAGTCACCTGTTTCCGGGGAAGGCACCCCGAGGTGCATGCGTGACTGTGACTGGGAGGGGATCGCGGAAGAGCTGGCTCAGTGGATGGGAGCCCGACCCTCCTTCCGTGGGAACGGGGATCAGTGCTACATCTCATCCCATGGCGCCCAAGGGACGTGTAGTGTGTCAACACTGAGCACCCACAGCCTGGCTGGACAGGGAGACACCTTTAGTGCTGGAGCAGGGACTGGGAGCAGGCCTGACGGCTCATGGGTAGGAAACACGGAGGCTGCTCCCTGCTCCATGCCCATGGCACTCCCACATCCTGAGTGGCGGGTGGGGGCAGCTCCCCTTTAGTGTCTTATACACTGCCCCCCGAACTGCAGGAGGCCCGAGAGCACAGTGGGGCAGTCAGAGAAAGAGGAGCCCCTTCAGGGCTTTAAACCATTGTACCAGCTGCTGCGCCCGTGGAAGGGCTGCTCCAAGTCATCGCAGCTCAGCAGCCAACAGGAGCTGGCGCCCACAGCAGCGTCCCACAGCCCTGGCCTGGGGCCCCTGGTGCGGATTAGCACCTTCTGTTCCTGTCATCAGGGCAGGCCAGGCCCTCCCCTAGGAGTGGCACCAAGTCCGGCGGGAAGGTGGGCCCTGCTCATCACTGGGGGGCCCAGCGGGGAGGGGATTGGGGCCTGGGGTCCATCCTGAGGCAGCTTCTAGGGGAGATCTCCCAGACGAGGATGCAGGAGGGGCTGGGAGGGCAGAGGAGATGTGGTGACTACTATAAACAGTGGCAGTGCAGGCGCTGCATCCCCACCGTGCAGGGAGAGGAGCCACCTGGTGGCGGGGTGGCGGGGCGTGTGCGTAAAGCAGGGGGGTCCATTCCGGGATCCAGTCCTGGAGTCTGGGAGAGCCCCATGCCTGGTGGGAGGAGGCCGCCCCAGGCTGAGGTGAGGTGTAGGCTCTTGGAAAGAAGCTGCAGTGGGGATGAGACGCCCAGCTGGAGGTGTGCAGGGTCCCCTGCATGAGCCCACGCCTCGCCTGCCCTATGGAGACTTGGGAGGCAACTAGGTCTCTGCAGGCAGAGGGGACGACGTGGGGCCAGGCCGGGGCCCCCAGCCCTCTTGTCAGCAGACACGCCTGCCATCAGAGCCTGGTCTCGCTGAGGACGATGTTGGCGGTGACGAAGAAGAAACAGGAGAATGCCCAGAGCAGCACAAAGCCCACCCAGAAGGTGTGGTGGAAAGGGGACCTGTGCTTGTTGACGGCCCCGGGGCCGAAGGCCAGCTGGCTGTCCTTGCGGCAGTGGTACACCAGGAAGGCGGGGATCACGTACTGGATGCCGGTGCCCGCGTAGGCCCCTGTGATGCCCACCAGGGACTCCAGGTCGTGGGTGCAGAAGGCCACCAGCACCGGGGGCAGCAGGGTGATGGTGGGGAACACCACGCGGTCCACCACCCAGGGGTACGTGCCGCCCTCCCGGTGGAAGAGCGTCTTCCAGTTGTTGCGCAGGGTCACGGCGATGATGGGGAAGTTGGTGCTGATGGTGAACACGGGGAAGAGGCCCAGGAAGAAGCGCACGGCGGCCACGCCCACGATGTCGCAGCTCGCGAAGTTGAGGGTGTACATGTCCAGGAGGCTGTCGCCGCGGAAGGAGAAGATGGCGGTGAAGGAGAGGAGGCCGTAGAAGGCCAGGATCAGCACGTAGTCCAGGAAGACCAGGCGCGTGAGGTGGCGCTTGGAGGAGACGGGAGTGATGAGCGACGGCAGGGAGTGCTGGCACATGAAGGAGTACACGCACACCCCGAACAGGTTCCGGACCCCCGAGAGGCTGGCCAGGGGCGGGTGCCCCTCCCCGTGCCCACGCCCGATGCGGACCAGGGCCAGCACGATCATGATGGCGAAGGCTGGAAAACGAGAGGGCTGTCAGGCGGCGGAGCAAACAGCCCCACCCAGGACAGTGTCTGGTCTGGGGGCCCTGCGGGGGGTCAGAGCTCCAGGAGCAAGAGCTGTTCAAATCACGTGACTCTGAGGGCCACATTCTGGGGCAGGCCAGCAGTGGCTACTAAGCCTATGAATGTCCATGGGTGCCCTCTCCATGTCCCGTTCACCCCACACACCAGCGGATAAAGGGCTGTGTCCCCGGTGGGGGGGGGGGCCTGAGCAGGGTAGGAGGGCGGCTCTCGCTGTGTGCTCCTGGCCAGGCTCTGCCCAGCTCCCTTACCGGGGCTCTCTTGGGGCCCTGCCAGCTTCCTGGCCGGGAGCAGTCCCAGGTTAGGACTCCTGTTTGCTCTCTCTCCCTGGGTTTAGGAAATGTGTGTCTGGAAGCTGGGGAGAGCAGAGGAGTAAGGGGCACAGGACATTTGGGAGGAGTTGTCCTCAGATGGCCAGGGCACCTGAGGGGACATCTGAGTGGGCATGGGAGTGTGCCCGGCGGACACCAGGCAGGAAGGTGTCTTTGGTCACTCAAGGGAAGAAATGGCCCTGAAGGCTGCTGCTGGGGAGGTTTACAGCACGTGGCTCTGCTCTCCTGGGCCGTGACCCACAGGGTGGTCTGCCTCGCAGAGGGGCGGCACTGGCCGGGCCTAGGGGTCCCAGGACACCGAGAAATATTTTGATAAAGGCTCAAGCTAGAACAGAGCTCCTAGAACCCTGGAGGGGTCTGTGCCATTGATGGCCCCAGAGCCAGTGCCTCCTCTGCAGGTGCTAGAAGGGTACGAATGCAGCTGTCGTGGAGGAAGGGGACGCATGTCCACTAGGGCTGCACGAATTCAGAGCCACAACGCCGAGAGCTCAGCGCGGAGCCCAGACTCCTCCTTGCTGTTCTCTGAGCCCCATGCGTGGCTCTGGATGTGACTCATGTGAGGCAGAACCAGAGAAACCCTCAGCTCTTCTTGCTCCCCCTAAGACGCACAAGGCCAAGCCGCCGCCATCACTGTCACCAGCGGGGCCTCTGAGCGTGTGCGCTCTCTGTACAGGGCTGAGCACAAGGAGAAATAATTTTGTGTGGGTTCTTGGGGGCTCGAGTGGCTCATCCTTCCCAGGCCATCACCCTCCCATCCGAGCACAGGCTGTGGGTCGAGGTGGGGGCCCATTTCATTTCCCAAGAAGACAGGACAAACTGGGTCTCTGGCGGGAGGTGCCCCCTTTGAGAGAAATGAGAAGCTCCCTGCACAGATGTGCTCCCCTCCGAGAGCATCCTGGCCCCTGCTCAGTCGTACCTCAGGCCAGCAAGACGCCCTGAGAGGCTGGTCTTGCCTGATGATAAGTCACAGGAAGGAGTCACTGGGTTTCTACTGAAGGGAGGGGATGTGAAGCCAGTCTGACCCCCCAAGCCCCCCTGCTGGGCAGCCCCTGCGGTTTCCTGAGGGTTCCAGCTCCGCCCTCCTCCCCGCAGAAGCAGAGAAGGGTGTCGCAATAAGCAAGTGCCGGGGCTGAGGTTCTACCCTGGGGCTAAATTATGTATCCCAAAGGACTCAGCGCAGAGCCCCCCCTTCCCAGTGTGTCAGGGGAGGAGGTTGTTGCTAAAGGGCAGGCGTTTGAGTCTCTGAAGCAATCAAGTCTTAAGTGTGAAATCAAGAGTTCAGGTCTCTCCATTCTTCAACTTTCTGCACTGTGGCAGGTGGCACCTGGGAGGGAAGGGCCTCCATTTCTCATCCCTAAGCTGTCACAGCCTGCTCAGTCTGTCATCGCTGGGAGACGGAGCGGAGGGGCCGCTGGCTGCCGGCGGACTAATCTTCCCAGAGATTGGAAACATAACACTTGAGCACTGTCACCTCTCCTGAAAGCTGTCAGCCGTTTCCTCTTGTTATGAATGGTCTACCCCACAGTCTGAAGCCCTGACCCCCAGTGTCACTGTACCTGCAGATGGCACCTAGAAGGAGGTAAGAAAGGAGAGATGAGGTCGTAAGGGTGGCCCCGTTCCGATAGGACCTTATGAGAGAAGGGAGAGACGCCAGCCTGCTCTCACCCTGCACACACAGGAGAGGCCACGTGAGGACACAGCAAGGAGGTGGCTGTCAACAAGCCAGAAAAAGAGGCCTCACCAGAGACCAACCCTGACAATACCTTGATCTTGGGCTTCCAGCTTCCAGAACTGTGAGAAAATACACTTTTGTTGTTTAAGCTGCCAGCCTGTGGTGGTGTGTTATGGTAGCTTGAGCTAAGACAGCTCTTAAGCAGCCGCTGGATCAGGGAGAAAGCACGGAGGGGAGAGTGGGGGGACGAGGGAGTTGGTGCTAAGATAGCGGCACTTGAATTGCCCTGAACGGAACGTAAATTCCCACACTCTGGGCCTGCCACGAGTCACGCCACCTCTGCAGATGTGGCCGCCGGACTCTGTCCGAGGCTGAGGCTACCCTGGCCTTGTGAAGCCCAGCTCTGCAGGGGCACGCCTGTAACCACCGTTGGTCAGACACCTCAACCCACCAGCTCCTGGGCCTTATCTTCCCCTTCCCCTGCCACTGTCCGGGCAGTTGGCCCGCCGCCCTCCCAGGTGGAGCAGGAGTCCCCCCCGATGGCCAGGGGAGTGCTTGTCAGCCACACGCAGAGCAGAGCTGCCGACAACAAAGGCAGTGCAGAGGAGAAGTGCAGCCCAGAGAGAACGGCCTCCGCTTGGGGCCAGGCCGAGCCGTGAGGCCCAGCCTGCTGCTGAGGAAAGGGGTCACTTGTGACAGGCAGCTGAGTCTTCAGCAAACTTTAACTAAGTGTCCACTTTACCCCAAGAGCCTTAAGATAGAAACTCCGGGTTCCTCTCCTTTAAACCGACCCTGGGAATTGAAGGGGGGACTTTTAGAAAACCAAGAATAAAAGTAGAACCAAAACGAAACATATATCTAAAGGTTTTCCTGGATCCTCTCCACTGGCTGTGTGACCAGAGAGCAGGATGCTTAGCCCAGGAGAGCCCTGGATGGTGGCCCAGAGGGAGGGTGGGCCCCGAGCACAGGGTTGGCGTGCTGCTCAGAGAGGCCGGTGGGCACCTTCATTTTGGGAGGGGGTCCTTCCCGGCCCTCTGAGGAGCACTAGTTGAGTGAGGCTGTGAAGGAATTCATGCACTGAGCTGGCACACTGAACCAACAGGCTGTGAACAGATGGCCCAGACACACACAAGACCTCTGGCTGTTGGTGGTGACAGATCACAGCGGTCCCACCAGGAGATGCTCTGCTGAGATCGGTCCTGGATCTGCAGGGGAGTCAGCCAAGTGGCCACAGATAATTCCGGGGACAGGTGAAATCAGAGGGCCCTTATGTTCCCTCCCAGGTGATGGTGTCCTCCTGGGGACCTTCTGCCACTTGGACCACCACAGCTGAGTCCCACCTCTCCCCCCAGTTCCGACTAGAAGACAAATCTGGGACACTTGCCAGGGCAAGTGGGAAGAGCAGGGCCGAGAAACTTCCTGAAGCAGCTTGAGTTTATCCACAAACACTGCCGTCAGAGGACGCGCCTGGCCCAGTTTGAGTGGAGTGAGAGACGGGGACAGTGTGTGTGGTAGCTGCTCTGAATATACAATCAGAGGGGAGGCAGCCCTGTGGGTCCTCAACAGCCCAGACGCAGACCGAAGAGGGTTGCTGTGCTCCAGAGCAGCGTTTATTAGAAAGAATCAGTTTTTTAATAATGCCAAGTGGGGCGCCCAGAGCTGAGCCAGCTGTTGGTGTCCCCAACTGGGAGGCGTCTGCTGGAGCCTACTGGGGGAAGTTGGTAATGGGAGTGAAGTAATGATACGCCCTGCCGGTTTCCCAGGTGGGAAGAGTCTACAGTCATCATTTGAGCCGCTTAGGGCTTGAGCTCGGAAGCCACAGCTGCTGGGGCTGGGGGCACGAAGGACAGTGAGGGAGTTGGGAGCTAGAGGAAGCCCCCTGCATCTCTGTGCAGGGATGGGGTGGGGGCTGCTTCTCCTTTCTCTCGGGATCAAGCTTCCTCCAGGGCAGAGGGGGTGGAAGCTGGTGGGTGTGCGCCGGGAGCAGGGCTGCTTGGGCGGCGGGGGCCTGCGTGGAGCTGACCGGGCGCTGGGCACTGCGCTGGCAGCACTTCCCACAGGGTCCCGCTTTATCTTCACACTGCTCCATGAGGGGGTCCTGCCTTTGCTGCTGCCACACAAGGGACCTGGCCGGGGCAGACTTGGCCTGTGGGGCATATTTGGAGTGAACACTGTCCTACTCAAGGTAGCGAACAAAGGGAGGAGGTGCAGCGGGAGTGGCTGGCAGGTGTGTGCTCAGGAGCCTGTGGCTGACCTAGAGCAGCCACCTGGGGTGAGCAGCCGGATGACAATCGGAAACCATCCCCTGCACAAATGAATTCAGGGGCACTTGCAGTCTAGGTCTCCCAAATGGACCAGCCTGGTCTGGGAGCAAAAGAAATGCATCAACCCTGGCGCCTATCCTACGTGTCTCCTGACATTTTCCCAGACAAGTGGCTATTCAAAAGGCCACCCAACCCTCTCAGTCCCATTGTGGCAGCGCGAGGGGCGTCTGGGGCTAATGCCTGGAGGACGGTGCAGAGAAAGCCAGGAGGAACCAGCCTCCAGGCTGCTCAGCTTGCCTTGAGCTCCAGGGGGCCTGCTCGGCAGGCTCCAGCCGTCCTCCCGCCTCATTTCAACAGATGGCAGAACAAATTACTAATTAAGCACAAGAAAGTTTCCGGCTCAGCACATCTATGATTTTCTGGTCCCTTCGGTGCTCATTTTCCCCTTTTGTCTTTCTAGAACCCAGGCCAGCTTATTACCACCCTGAGAGCGCTCCCCTCAGCTGTGGGATGGCCTGGGCCCTAGGATGGGAGAGGGAGGAGGTGGGGTGGGCTGGAGGGTCACAAGGACATGGCTGCACAGTTGCTTTGAAAAGGCAGCATGGAAAGGGAGTTCGCTGCAGACCGACAACTTCGTGCAGACTTGAGGGGACAAACAGGGCCTGGGTGCTCACGGCCTTTAGAGGGGTTCTAGAAACATCACCGGGGGTGAGCTTGGGCCAGAGGAGAGACCTCCTCCGAAGGCCTGCAAACGTCCAGTGGGTGAACCTCAGTCCCTCCCACAGCGGGACGGCCTAGTCTGGGGTGCTTGGTGTTCCCAGCTCCCTCCCGATGCAACCCTGCTGTCTCCCACCAGATCCACAAGGAAAAATGCCCAGGTGGCTGCAGTGCCCCCGGCTAGGGACTGGACCCTACACTGGGCAACATTCTAGAGTCTATTTGACTGAATGAATTTCTCTCACTTGACAGGGCTTTGTGTCATGGAGGTTTACTTTCCAAGCCCCGAGGTCTGAGTGTGTACGGGAGGAAAATGACTGCGCCATCACCCACAGAGCCCTCTGGAGGACAGGCTGGCAGAGAGGCAACTGCTCTCTGCCTGCCATCTGATTATCTCAGATCAAAGGGAGAAAAGAGGCAAGTGACTTGCAGAGACAGCGATGTCCAGACAATGTCATCACCCAAACAGGAGTGTGGATGCCCTTCACGAGTTGGTCTCTACCTCTAGCCCTCCTGCGGCCAAACACCTCTCAAGGCCACTGCCGCCCGGCTGTGCCGCCCTGCAGGGGGCTGCCTCTGAGGGTGCTGGGGCCTCAGGGGGGACCCAGAGGATTCCCACTGCATCCCTGAGGCCAATGGGCAGCCACCTTGCTGCTCTGTGGGAAGGGCTCTGGTTGGGAGAAAGAGACGCAGAATGGGGTTACCAGGGGCTGGGTGCCCAGTGCCATGGCAAAGAGCAGCTGAGTGTCTAAAGCAGGAGTGGGGAACCTTTTTTCTGCCAAGGGCCATTTGGATATTTGTATCATTCAAGGGCCATGCAAAATTATCAACTTAAAAATTAGCTATGAAAAAAGGTCCTAGATCTATTGAATTTCCAGTCCTGTCTGTGGTTGCCTTGGAGGCCAGACCAGACCAAGTGGGGCAGCCTGGGGTCCTGCCAGCCTCCTCCGCACCCTCTCACAATCTTTCCCTTTTAATGAATGTTCTGCTCACCAGATGCAGGGGACTTCGTCACACTGAACAGGCACCGGGGTGCCACAGAAGACATTAACTGCCATTATCTGGGCGGCCAACCGCTCGTGGGTTGACATGGGAATCTATCATGCCGGCTAAAGCATGGGTGTCCCCTCCACCACTTCCCATCCTGCTCCTGCCCGCCTCACCCCAGAGGGAGAGGGACCGGGAACCTGAGTTTAACTAGCCCCTTCCCACAGCTAGTGCAGCAGGTCAAGGACAGGCAATCCCGAGCAGGGGCCAGATTTTTAGGACTTTTGGGACCTGGTTGCTGGGACAACAGATTAAGCCAGGGAGATGAGGAGGGAGGTTTTCCTCCAAATACTGCTTTACTGTGAAAACTTCTGAAGGTCACTAGGGCTTTCAAATACTTCCTACAAGCAGCTTATAAGGGGAAGGGTGGATGGCCACTGGTTCTGATCCATGCTGATCCTGGACTTTTGGACACAATCCCTCCTGGCACCCAAGGAGGTTCCATTCCAACATCGTGCCCCTGGAGCTAGCGAGATCCTCATATTCTAAGCAAGTAAGTTCTCATTTTCTCCCAAGTGATCGTGTTAATTTAATCCAGGGCTTTGGAGCTTATGAATGAAATTTGAAAACAGCATCCTGTAGGTGAGAATAGGCTCAGACCCACTGAATGGGGTAGACAAGGAATTTTGCCCCATCCAGGTACCCAGCAGGTGTCCTCCTGTTCCCTCCTCTTGCTGGATGACGGACAGGCTCATCAAGTGACAGAGGCCCCAAAGCTCACGCTCTGGACCATTTGGCCCTGCTCTCATTTCCTTGCAAGGATGGACCAAGAGCAGGAAGAAGTTATAGGCTGGAGGGTCTGGCTCAAGCCAGGGCAGAACTTCCCAGCACTGACAGATGCCCCCTCAGAGTGGCGGGACCCCTCGGAGCAGCACCGGAACCTTCCCTGGATGTGAGCTCTAGTCCACACACCCCTGCAGGGGTGGGGCTGGCCAAGTCCCTTCCAACCAAAGATGCCAGGGCTCTTGTGGGGCGGTGGCTCCCTATGCTGGAGTCTTGTAATCCTGAGTGGGGGGACCAGGGGACTGGAGGTGCCAGAACTGCTGGAAATCATTTGGATCAGAAGCTGTCTGAGTTTGTCACGATCTAGCTCTGAGAGATGGCTCCAATGAGGAGCAACGAGCACCCGAATCCTGATGAGGGCAGATGCCTGGGAAAGGACCTGGGGAAGGGAGTCCGGAAGGGGGGCCCCCCCACCAGAATAGCAACAGCATTTTCTTGTAGATCAAAACAAATGTGTGATGGATCCCAGAACACACGCTAGCTGAGGGGGCGGTGGGCGGTGGGGAGCCCACAACCTCCTGTCCTGGGTCCACCCTCCAGGTGGCTGGCAGGATGGGGTGATGGAATGAATGAGCTCCTACCACACACCTGATTTAAGGGGAGAGACACCCCTTTCCCCCTGGGAAAGTGGTACTACTTCTCCATGGGAGTCAGTCAGTTAGAGGGCACTGTGGTCAAGGTGTCTTTTCACGCCCTGGTAGCTGGGGATGCGATGGAGGTGCCATGGCCCACTGGTTTTATGGCACAGCTCTCATGCCCTGCAGGGAGCAGAACCCTGACCCAGGCCTCCAGGTGCCCAGCCGCCAGGCTCTGGCGTGTGAAAAGGCTGGTCCCAGAATCAGCTGTCCCAGGCCTTGCTCCAGCTCTGCCCACATGTGACCTTGATGTGACTTAACTTTTTAGGTACTAAATTTCCCCACCAGTAAAAAGGCAGGGAGAGCATCCACCTCCTCGTTACCCCGGGGAGCTCAGAGAAACCCTCACCACATTCTGGCTATGGCTGTGAGCCTGTGAGCTGGCCTGGCTGTCTCAGGGAGGGTTAAGGAAGGGACAAGGGGAGAAAGAGCAGAGGCTCGAGATGTTTCAGACTCACCGATCCATCTCATCAGTGAGGTCAGGATCTGCAGGTACTTGGTCTTCTGGACGTCAAAGAAGGTGAAGGGTCCCAGGAGGAGAGTGAAGACAGCCTAGGTGACAAAAACAGGAGTGAGAGGGGCACAGAGGCCGGGAGCACAGGGTACGAAGTGTGCGTGGGGAGCACACACTGTTCACGCAGCCTCTGCCCAGGGCCAGGGCTGGTCCTAACCCAGGTGTGCACTGGGACTGGCAGAGGCTCTCTGGGGTCAGACAGTGCCAGCGTGTTTCCAGTGTCCTGTGTGCACAGGAGCCCACAGCTGCTCCTCTGCCCTTCCTCACACTCACTGTCCTGAGGCTCCTGGAAAGGTGTCCAGGCAATTCCCAAACGATATCCCGGGGACACTGCCTGCTCACGGCTCTTCAGCAAACACCGACTAAGGATTCACAGCACTGAGCTGGGCACGAGCAGGGATTAGGTGCGAGACGGCAGGCAGATGAGGGTCCGAAGCAGCACCAGGCACTTACTGGGAAGAAAGGACCGGGGAGGAGGGAACACAGGGGTCCTGACGGCGCAGTGGAGGGGACACCATTCTGAAGGGTTGGGAGGAAAGGATCAATCAGGATGTCCTTGATCAGCAATGTCTGTAACTTACAGAGAAGGGCATGGACACAGGGAGAACCAGAGCCAGTGGCTTCCAGGCAGCTCCCTCAGAGAAGTAGCCCAGCCCAAGACAAGCAGGGGCCGCACCCAAGGAAAGTCTGGGAGTGGGGGGGAGTCCGGCCCAAGGAGGGGGGCGCTGCAGGCACCTGGGTTCTCCTTCTTTTTGGAGAACAGGGTAGAGTGAATATTTACTTTAAAAAAAAATAAAATTCAAAGCCTGTCTTAAAAAACTGGTCTGTGGGAAATCTGAATCCTCTTTGCAAAAGAAAATGGGGTAGACGTGGCACAGTAGAGGCCGGGGCTGGGAAGAGGGGGGAGGTTGGGATTTCCATGCCAAATTGGGTGCGCAGGGAGCAGAGGAATTAAAAGCCGCTGGTTGGCGTTACGATGATGGCACCATTTCCAATCTGCCACTCGGAAGCTGCACAGGCATCAGACCTTATTAACATTTACACTGTGCCATTTTATCACGTTAATGCTAATGACACTCGCCAGAGATGGCGCAGAAGGCTCCAAAACATGAATGTGGGGAGTGGGGCCCACCCTGGGGAGCCAGCCCCGGGCCTGTGATCTGGATGAATATATCACAGCTGCCTGGGCTGGCAGCCAGTCCCCCAGCTGGTGGCCCTGTGACAGGCAGGCAGGCGGGAGCCCCAGAGGAGAGGGGCTGGGCTGCCCCTCCCCCACCCTCATCGCAGGGCCAGCAGGATGTGGAGGGAGCTGTGACCTCTTATCCAAGTCCATTATCACTGTGAGACCGAATGACAGGAAAGACTAAAGTACCGGCTTATGGAGAAGGCTCTAATTAGCTGGGGTCACAAGGCCTGGCCGGGCTGGGAGACTTCTGGAAAGAGCTTTCTGCTGGGGGCCTAGACCCAGATCTGCTCTGTTCAGGAGACC